AATCATTTATAAATTATTCTTTGTAAATTATCTCAGATTTTACGGATTATTATTATTATTATTATTATTATTATTATTGTTGTTGTTGTTATTATTGTTATTATTATTATTGTTATTATTGTTATTGTTATTATTATGATAATATAGTTTTGGACAAAAACTTTCCTTTAATAGTATATTAAAAAATTCCTTTAAATTGCATTAAATTTAGGATGTTGCTGTTGGTGTATTTATGAATAATGTTATCTTCTCCATTCTATAAAAAAACCATTGCGACTTGTGAAAATAATATGGATTCTAAAAATCAAATACGATCCAATAGGTTTAATATCCAATATTTATCTCCAGTAGTCGATTGAGCAAGATATTAAAAAGATCAGCACTCACACTGCATAAAACGCTTTATTATCTCATTGAACTTAATGAAAATTGATATAAAATAAACCAGTCACGAATATATGGAAATGTTGAATATATATGTGTGTGTGTGTGTGTGTGTGTGTGCTCGCGCGCGCGCGCGTGTGTGTAATATAACATTGCCTCGCCTAATCAAATTACTTTAGCGCTCGTTTATATTATGTATCGTCTCGTCACACCAGCAAGCAAAAGAAAGGATCGGATCATATTGTATTTACCGAAAGAAAGGCCCCGCATTCAAAGTGAAGGAGGCCATTCCAGATTAACGCGATTTAGTTTACCACATAGCAATAACATATAGGCACAGCAAATCTATAGGAGCACCAACTCTGCGCTCAACGTGTACTAACAACGATTTACTGAATAAGCCGTTGTGAAGGAAAAACATGCAATATTCCCACGTACCATCCTCTCATTCTTTTCAAATAAAAATTTCGCCATTATCATTCTCGTTTTCTTATCCGAACCAGGTCCTGATGTCGTTTTTTTGCACTTCTTCCGCTCAATCACTATTCGCAAGACAATAGATGAATTAATCCGTCGCTTGTAAATGACAGGTTTAACGTGTTCACATCGTCTTCAGATATTAAGATCATCTCGCATTTTCTCATTAAATCATTTAATTACGTAGAACTTGCTTAAATGATTTATACATCGTACATATTTAAGAATTTTTAAGAATTAACTCATATAATATTTTATACAATTATTATAAATTTATGTTATTTAACTCAACTATATGAATTAACAAATATTCCAGTAAATAAATGTATGTTGTTAATTGAAAAATATACTTTGTTAAAATATCGAAAGTATTACGTCATTTACAAGTTTTTTCATTGCATATATCATTTTACATATTTTTTCCATTTCAACGAATTTAATAATCCAATTTTTCAATAAAATATAATACATATAAAATATTTATTCGTCAATCTTACCTTTATGAATTTATTTTTACAAACATCGTCATCATTCGGTTTACCTTGAAACAGTAGCTATCTTCGTTACTAATCATAAAAATAAACTATGTATATTGTAGCGGAAAATGTCATAAAATAATTATTTTAATCACATAATTACTTGCAGCTACTTTTAATTGCAAAATCCAATTCATTCATTATACTATAGATTTCTGCTTTAAGGTTTAATTCAATATTTTTATTAGAATTTTTATTGCGATCATAGAATATTTAAAGAAAAAAATTTTTTTTTTCTTTAATTAGTAAAAATAAAATAAAAAAAATAATCAAATGCTTAAGATCTTAACAGAATCAATGAACAATAAGAACAATAATAATAACATCGACTATATATTACGTTTACTGCACACCTAAATTTTACTAAATTACTACATACGCATACACTCAAAGTAAAATAATAATCACGCTCATCTTGATTAAAAAAGAAAAAAGAAAAAGAAAAAATCAAATTGGTATTCATATTATAATGTTTAATCACAGTTCATACATAATCATCACCCATTCGAGAAGTGAAAATTTGTCGAGATTCGGATCTCGATATTACTTACCACTATTGTTAGTTAAAATTAACTGAAAAGTAATAATTATTAATAATTGATCGCTTAATAATTAATTTTTTAATTTTTTATACTTTTAGAACCTTTTTAATGTATAAAAAAAAAATTGCTTTTCTAAGTGATCTGCAAAATGTGTTAATTTGAATTAATATTTTTTGGACAATAGAAATAAAATATTTTAAATGAATTGAATAAGATAACAAGAAGGTAAATAACAAAAAACCATTCACTAAAGAATGTGATTGAAAAAAGAAATTCCACGGTATCGCTCTGGATGATCCAGACTCTAATTATCTTTCAAATTCAATTATTAGTATCAATTACATGGATTGTGGTTAATTATATGACTTGTTAACAATATGTAATAAATGCGTCATTTCTAAAGATATGACACAGAGGTCGTAATAAGCGTATGTACTAGTATAATTTAATCGAAATTCATAATTTCAAGGATACGACTTTTAGTTGTATTAAAATTATTCACCGAATAGCCCTAATAGAAATTAGCAGCTGCGTTTAGTTTTAATCGATTAGTGAGATATACAAGACAATTGGTAAAATAAATGACGACTAAAAATAGCGTGTAAAGACAGATGATAAATAAACAGAGCAGTTGATAAATTTATGTCAAACTAACATTGAATAAACTGTTACATTAACTTTTTATAAATAGATACAATTTCAATGGTGATCGAGAAAAATCTATATTTGTCCAAGTTTAGAAGTAAAAATTTAATAAAAAGAACGTCACATAAAATATTCATAAAATTAGAAATGTTTAGTAAAAGCAAAATTAAGAGAGTTTGATTTAATAAATAGAGACAAAGTCGTAACCTCCGAATATGAAAAAGTTAAAGGCTTTGTGATTATGTCAATAACCATTCGATAAATAAGAAATATCGTATGACGACAGCTTGCACTGAATAAAAACAATTGCAGAAACTTTACATCAAGCACTTATTTATAGTGAGAAACAATTTTTTAGATATTTTTAGAATATTTATACTACCTTTATATTCTACAAATGCATAAAAGATATTCTTACATATTAATCGCCGCCATATTCTAATTACCAGTAGCATGTAATGATGTCGTTATTCCGTCACTGTTCCTACACTGTCTCTGTCAAAATAAATAGATTGGCTCCACGTGCAAACGTTCGACTTCAAAATACTAAACCACTAACTTAGGCGACCAAATTATTAATTTATATAAGATTTGAATGTATTATTAAAACAAAAAAAAAATAATTCTGTTACTATCTAGTGGTTAATATTAAAAATAGTTTTGCTGTAAAGTTTGGAAAAAATTGCAATAAATTGCAGAAATTTTGCTTGATTTGATGATAAGATCATATAAAATTTTAAAAGATTTCACCTTAAAATCTTCCTTTATAAAACGCTAGTGTACATATATGAATTAATTGTTCCATCAATTTCCAAGTTTTGTAAAAAAAAAAAAAAGGAAAAAAAAAGTCGTTTTTAATTAACTATTAACAATGAGTACATACGAATGTGCCTACGGTCAGAGTAAAAATATGTGTTGATAATAAAATAAAATAATCCTAATCAAATTATTTAATTATAGAATCTTTCGCACTTGGACATTTTAATTGTCGTATAAGTATCGAGAAATATCATTGCAAGAATTATTCTTAATTTGGTTTTATAAATCTATCTCCGATTACAATAAAATGTTTCAATCCATGAATTAAAAAGTTCACAATAAAGATTTATGTTTCACATTTTTATAGAATAAAAGATGTTGGCAATATTTAAAAAAAATAAAATTTATAAATATAATAATTGAAGCTTTTAATTCAAAAAGATGAATTTTTGATATCCACTCTTCCTAATTTATCTATAAAGAAATAATAGAATATATCTATTGTAGAAAAATGTTTTCCAGATTGTAATGAAAGTTTTATATGTGCCTATCAGTTTTCAATGTCAAGCCATAAATGATCGAATTTCTTCTCGATCGTTATACATATTTTATACGGACTTCTCTCATTACATTGTACGAACATACACTCGTAGGTATTATAAATGACTCCGTCACTATAGAAATATAAACAATTAAATAAAAATATTCATTACAATTAATATTAAAATAAAAAGTTATGTTTTAAATAATAATAAGTTACATAGTAACTCATAACATATACATATAATAAATAATTATAATAAATATATACATCATAAATCATAATTAACGTATAAAATCATAAATCGTAAATGTTAATTTTGTTTTTTTATATCAAGTTTTACTGAGAATCGTAAATGATGTATTTTATCACAATTAAAATGGTGTCGTTAACATTCGTGAAATGTATTTTTATACGTGTTTATCATGAATTTCTCAGAGAATACTTGTTTAATTAGATTAAAAAACGTCTTTGTCAAAATAATTGTGTGTGCTCGTTCAATATCGTGTTTCATTATTTTAAATGAATATTTGTCAATAATATTTATCGATATTTCATTATAAATATACCAAAAACATCATAGGTAATATTGCAATTGAAATCATTGCTCATAATATTCTTTAGCATTGTTTAATATTAGAACTTATTTATATAATAACTAGAAAAATAAAAGCGAGCTTTTACCAACAGCCGACAAAAAGGTAATTTTTTGTATTAAAAAAAAAAAAAAAAAAGCACCAATGATTCTTTATTTATCGTTCGAATGTAATTAGAAAAATACAATGGTCCTTAGCTCGTGCATATTAATAAACATTTATAATCAATGATTGACGAATTATTATTTTTCCTATAACTTTCATCTTGGACTGTTTAATCAACAAAATTAATCGTACATAGAGATGGAGCATATAAATGTATGTAGCAATTAAAAAACATTGCTACAATTGAGCCACAAATTTTTTTCATTAACAAATCAAGATTGATCGTCGATTTCCAATAAATAGGATTAAAATTACACGAGGGATTGCTGGTCGGTTAAAGAAAGATGCACGTAGAGTACATTATAAGTTGAAGTGAAAAGCAAACTATAGCAGACCTTTAACAAGTTGACTGGTAGTATAGTGTATGAGCGATCAGTTGGAGCTTGTGCTTTGCAGTAAACAGATGTTGTTTATGGATCGCTGATGTGCTCGTGCAGACACGATCGTTACTAACTATATACATTATCACTGATATATATTTTAATCACAGCCATGGAGACCTCCAAGCCAGTCATCAAATATACGAAGGTTAGATTGTTCTTTTGTACATTCTTGTTATAATATGTAAATATATTTTTTTTTATAATTGGTAAGATATTTTTCTCTCCGCCACTTTAATGCCATTTTAAAAATTAGATCAATTTTCGAAAAATTGACGATCATTGTGTTTTAAAATGCCAAATCTAGGAATTTTGTTAGGTTAGAATGGAACGTCGACGGCTTTTGAGTCAGAAGCTTTTATGCTTATATTATTACAATTGGTGTTATTATCGGGCAATTATATGGCAAGCGACATACAATTCTGTACAAATAATTACATCAATAATTGTATACTTATTTTTTAAGTATAGTTTGAAACTTTTTATGATGGCATATTATTTGTAACCCTTTCAACGATGATTTTAATAACAAGATAGAGGCGGAGAAATTCGTTACACAAAAAAAAATTAATGCTAAAGTAAGAATATATTATCGTCCGTATTAAGAGAAATTAGCATTCTTTTAATGTCAAAAGTTATTGGATAAAAAGTATTTATAATAAATATAAAATATATAAAAAATTTTAAGGGGTAAATAAATTTAATAATAGAAAGTATAAAGCATTAAAAATCATTTAATATGTAATGAGTTAAATTAAAATAAAAATTGTTTTTAAAATAAATTATAATTATTTCTCATAAAAATGTGAATGAGGAAATTTTGCTCATTTTAATTATAAAAATATTATTCAATTTGTCATTTCAATATCATTCCCTGAGCTTCGAGTGTATTGACAATTTTCTTTTTACTTTTAAAAGTACATTGTCATTCGTATGCAAAATACTAGGAATAAATGTAAATAATTTAACTCTATTCAATAGAAAGTTAAATATTTAATAAACTCAATGATATTTTCCCCGATTTGATTTAAAAATAATAATAATAATGCTTATTTAATGTAGTAAAACAATCAAAGCGCATTATTGCTTAGATTTACGCAAATAGAATTTATAATTTATAATAATTTTAATTTACAAACGGACCCAAGGTGAACATGAAATTGTGATATCGAAATTTCTGTAAAATTGTTGTAAGATCTAACGTTTATCGTTACCAATAAGACACTATTAATGAAAAAAAGAAACAAAACAAAACAAAACACACGCACACACACACACACAAATAAGTATAATTAATAATGCGGTAAAAATATTTTTTATAAATTTTTAGATTTAATTACAATTCAGTAAATTTATAGATTTTAATATTCACTTATTTGTATTCTTCACGTTGGTTAGTTTTTAAGCTTTTTATAGGGGCGAAACTTTATGTATTAAATGCGTTAAATACTATCGTTAAATACTAACGTTAAATACTATTAAATACTGTCATCGCTAAACTAAAACTACAACTTTTCTGTGATACTCGTGAAACTATCATGATGCATCATGACTTTTGAAGCATTTATATTGAATTCTTAGGCTGTACCGATAGATTGAAAATATATCATCAAAATCGAAACTAATACCAATTATTTCTTAATAATTCTTAATAAATCTGATTTATTATTTCAAGTTATTCATCGATAATGAATTTGTGGATTCCGTTAGCGGCAAACAATTCCAAGCGATTAATCCAGCAACCGAAGAAGTTATTGCTAATGTATCCGAAGGAGATAAGGTATTATCTATTGATAAAAATCAATAAGAACTTGATTTAGTATTATAAATGCGAAATTAATAAACTTTTGCATTAAATTATATAGGCCGACGTTGATAAAGCCGTAGAGGCAGCTAAAAGAGCATTCGCAAGAAATTCCAAGTGGCGCTCAATGGATGCGTCCGATAGAGGGAAATTGATGTTTAATGTATAATCGTAATTTTACTCTCTTTCTCTCTCTCTCTCTCTCTCTCTCTCTCTCTCTCTCTCTTTTAATTAAATACACTATCCGCAGTTATAAGTTGAAATGGTTAAATTCGTGTATTATTACTATGCGTAGCTCGCCAATCTCATTGAACGGGATATTCAGTATTTGGCAAGCATTGAAACGCTCAACAATGGAAAAACATTCGTTAGCTCGGTGGAGGACATTAAAGCAACCATCAACGTCCTTCGATATTATGCTGGCTGGTGCGACAAAATTCACGGGTCGACTATTCCAGTCGGTAAATATTTTCTATTACCTGCGGGGCTGCAATTTATTATATCGAATTTTTCATAAGGTATAAAAGGGCCAATCATTGAAATATTTTATATCTCGTTTGAAAGTATTAAAATTTATCGCGTCATTGGCGAATGGACTATACGAACGTGTTTAAGCGATTGAATTAAAAGAGACCGATGTTATTCAGGATTGTTTCTCCCGAAAACTAAATTCGCTCGAATCGAAGGAAACTCGAAATAAGGCTCGAGTTAAGTAGTTAAGAAACTCGATCGAGGAGCAAAGCTAAGCCATTTAATACCCATTGTGGAATATTAATATTCAATTTATTATTTATTATAATAAAATTTAATAAGCGAATTTCACATAAATCACATAAATCGCTGATAAATTTTATCGATCAAATGTGGTAGACGAGCGAGCCGCATTTAACAATTGTAATTGCTTTCAAGCGAAACTCACCTCACGAAATCCTCAGGCAATGGTTATGTATCAATGACGCGAAAGGAGCCCGTCGGCGTTGTCGGCCAAATCATCCCGTGGAATTACCCGATAATGATGATCTCGTGGAAATGGGGTCCAGCGCTCGCGGCCGGCTGCACAATCGTCCTAAAACCGGCCGAACAGACGCCCTTGAGTGCGCTGTACCTGGCCGCCCTTACCAAGGAGGCCGGTTTCCCATCAGGAGTCATTAACGTCGTTAACGGTTACGGGCCGACTGCCGGGGCTGCGATCGCGGAGCATCAGGACGTGCGGAAGGTCGCCTTCACCGGATCCACCGAGGTCACCACATTTTACATTCTTACTTTCATTTGGCTTTGCCAGCCCCTCGTCGCAATTGCAACTGCGCTAAACGCACGCTGAATAATTCCTGTAGGTTGGACGCATCATCATGCAAGCGGCTGGTAAAAGCAATTTGAAACGAGTTAGTTTGGAGCTCGGTGGAAAAAGTCCTTTGGTCGTCTGTGCTGACGCCGATGGTAAGTTGATTATTTTGCTTTCAAGCTGCACTGTATCTATATATATATATATATATATATATATATATATATATATATATATATATATATATACACATATATATTGAATAAATGGATTTATTAGCGATTTATCAGTCATTGCACTATTAATGTTGGAAGCTTGATTCTTTTTTAAAATATGTTTTTTGAATAGCGTAATATTGTTACTTTATTATATTAATGCATTTGTGTGCTTTAAATTATATATATATATATATGTACTTACTTGAATATTAAAAAAAGAAAAAATCACACACACACACACAGACACACACACAGAGAGAGAGATACAGTTACGAATTCTTATATTTATAAAATGAAATAGTTTAACAACGATAGTTTAGAACGAAAGTTTTAACAATTCTGAACAATTACAGTTAAAGAAGCCGCCAATATCGCTTACCATGCGTTATTTGATAATCATGGGCAAAGTTGCTGTGCTGGATCGCGCACTTTTGTTCATTCAAGTATTTATGATGAATTTGTAAATGAGGCGAAACGGTTGGTAGCGAATAGGAAAGTTGGAGATCCGTTCGATAAGAATACCGATCAAGGACCACAGATCGATGCGGACATGTTCAATAAAGTGTTAGGATTAATTGAGTCGGGAAAGAAAGAGGGCGCGACATTGATTGTTGGTGGTGATCGTGTCGGTAATGCAGGATACTTTATTCAAGCAAGTATTTACATTTTATTATTTAAAGTATTCTTCATAATTGCTATTAGTTATTTGTACAATTGAGACAAATATTTTGCTTATTATTTACGCCTCTTAATGAATAATATAATCATGTAAATTAAAATATTATGTTCTGATACGTTATTTCATTTAATGCCCATAGCCTACTGTATTTAGTAATGTTGCGGATAACATGAGAATTGCACAGGAAGAAATCTTTGGGCCTGTTCAATCTATCTTCAAGTTTACCGATATCGAGGAAGCCATTAGGAGAGCAAATAAAACTTCATACGGTCTTGCAGCTGGTATTATTACTAAGGATATCAATAAAGCTCTATCCTTCGCCAATGCGGTAGAAGCAGGAAGCGTTTGGTTCGTTAAATATTTTAAATATACTTTTGTAAATGCTTTTATTTTACAAAATCTTAAAAATTGTTAATTTCATTTGTGTAGGATTAATGGTTATGATCTAATTTCTGCTCATACACCTTTCGGTGGATATAAAATGTCTGGAATTGGACGAGAATTGTAAGCAATCAATGATACATATTTTTAATAATAATTGCTAATATTATTTGTTAATTTGAATTTACTACCATCGTTATATACTTATAATAATAAACATTAAGCATTTTTCACTATATTATTTATATGGATATTTTCAGAGGTGAGGAGGGACTCAATGAATATCTTGAAATCAAAACAATAACTATTTATACGGCTTCCACATAAATTTACAATTGATTCAGAGGACATCGTATACTGCACAAATGAAGGTGTTTTTATATTATACAGGCTTATATATTGCTACATATTTGTTAAATAAAATTTAACAAATAATCTCGATAAGAAGGAAATTTTTACAGTTTCACAGATATATTAAAATACTTATATTTAAATTTTAATTAATCATTTAATTTACCTACCAAGTTTAATTTTTATTAACATAACGTATTTCTTTCCTTTTTCAACAAATCTACAATATCTATATCATTATACGAACTTATAAATTTTTTAATAATAAACTTGAGATTTTAGCAAGACCTTATGGTTATGTAAATCCTAATTAAGTAAGATTTATACAAATAAATAAAGTAACAGGACATTTGAGTTCTGAAATTCATTTAATATTACTGGACTAATTGTTAATAGTTAAATGCTATTATACTTTAATCATGTATACAATTCTCAAAGTAGTTGTGAATACTATTTTCCAGTTGTTTACTTGGCTTTTAACTTATTATTTATAAGTTCAAAATTCAATTCCATAAATAAATATACATCTACACCTATAATTTATAACATTTCATAAAGCTTTCTAAATATTAAAACAAGCATTAATTATAAAATCAACTGAACAATGCTGAATTTTTATTTCTGAACATTAAATTAATATTGTATATGTTAATGAGCTTTAACGTAATATTAAGATGTATTTTATAGCTTTCTTTTAATTATTTTAAGAATACATTAAAACATCATTATTATTTGTTATTCTTAATTATTTAGTAGAGAAACTAAAATTCAAAATCGCTAAATAGATATAGTTTATTTTTCAAAATTTCTAATGTAAATGTAATACTTAATGTAATATAATTCCATTTGTTGCAGTTTTCAAAATAATTATTTAAATATGAGAATCATATATTTGATAAATCCTTCTACGAATGTAGTTTGAACATAAATGTATCAAATTCTACTCCTTAAATAATCAAAAGTATGCTTTATTAAATCATTAATTTTTATAATATGTATTAACATAGCCAATAGGACCTATACGATCAGTAAAATTTTAATGATAGAAATAATGTATTCTTCAATATACTCCGGATACGGTAGTTTATTATTAATAAAACAAAACAACAAATTCACAAGCCTTAAGATTTGTGACTTATCAAAAGTAGAAAAACTATTAAAAACTAAAAAGTTATTAAAACTTTATTCTCTTTAATTTTTTATTTGGGTGTAACTGTAGTATTTTAAAGTATATATGCGTCAGAATATGCATATATGCTTTGAATAATATGAGAATATTACGAGAATATATGAATAATATGAGAGTAGTTATATTATTTAAGGTATGTTAGAAACATAAGAGATTCTAAATAATAATTTAATTCTGAGAAATAATAGTCAATTAAAATCGTGTTATGTCATGTGTAATTCTTAAAAAATGCCATACAATTACTATAAATATTATCTGACTCAATTTATTTAAGAAGCTACAATAACTGGTAGGATGCGTAAGAATGATTTATCAAAAATCATTCATAGTTGTAAATTTGATTGCTTTAAAAGTACGATAAAGTATCGTTTATGGATATAAACAATTTATGCGACAATGGGAAGTTTATTTGTTTTGTTACGCTAATGGTTTGGCAAAAATATTTTGACGTAATTCTATGAAATAGAAAATTCTTTGCTAAAATTGGTCGGTATTGGTTTCGACAATCATTTTAAACTAAAGCTTTTATCAAGTTTTCGATCAAGATGTATCAAGTTCAATTGTATCAAGTTATTGAAAAATTGTCATCTTGCGATAAAGAAGATTATTGCAATAATTATTGTACTTATAAAAATTGAGAGATTTTGAAAATACAATTAAAATTACAGTTGTCAAAGCAATCGAATTAAAATCATTTCGTAAAATGTTGAAATTTCAATATCTCAATATAATTGAATTTTGTAATGTAAATTATGAAACACTTGATTAAATCGATAAAAATAATATTGTCGGTTAGTTAGAGCAAAAGTATTCGACAGGGCAGTGTAATTATTTTATGAAAGTTGGCAAAATTATTAAAAAATGTGGAAGAAGAAAATACAATTATATAAATTCGAATCTTCAGAATATAATAAAACGGCTGATCAGATTAAACTAAGGATTCTGTAATTAATAATTTTAACTCGATGTGTCTATTATTTATTCTTAAGACGAAGCAAATGAAATGGCTAACTAGCAATAAATTTGAAAATAAAAAACTTCTACTATGATGATAGATATATTAATTATAATAATAACTTTATATCTCCATACCTCGAAGATTTAAATTAATAATTCAAATTTAGATTAAATATTACATATTAAAATAAAAATAAAAAATTGTCTATTAAAAAGCATATATTTTCGTTATTGAATTTGTAAAATAAACATTAATAATATTAAATATTGTCATTGATATAGACGACAATTACTCGCCTATTTTTTAAAATGACATTCGGGGAAACAATATAAATATTAAATTTAAATAACACAATTATTCATAAAATTAAAACATTGAATCAAAGTATTAATAATATTTTTGTTATTCTTGTAAAAAGGATCTTCGACAACAGTGAAATGTCTACAAAATGTATAAAAATGCTTATATTATTGAGAAATAAAAATCTTTATCAGGTTAGAAATGTTAAGAAAAATACGCATTTTAAATTAAAATTTATAAAAAGGTTTATAAAACAATTTGAAAATTCTCCAAAATTATATATTTCAGTTACGACATTGTAAAAGTCGCCGTAGAACTATATAAGTAGTTATATTTATTTCAAATATCATAGAAAAAAAGGTATTGAAAATGTGCAAAAAAAAATTGACTTTCAAGTTTAAAAACCTGCGCATGGCGTTGCCCTATTAATAGACGATGAATTCGATTTATTAAAATTACCTACATAACTTTTTTAATTAATTATTATTGAACGTCTTTAAAATTTATAGAACTGCGTAAACACAAAAATTACCTCCCTTACCGACTCGACCATGCATTATAACAACAAATTTACCACCGAAACTCCTAATATCCATGATTTTGCACACTCTTCCACTTGATATTAGTTACCTAATTGATTGATTTCATAAATCATAAAAATTATCCTTTTAATTGACAAGTCCTTGAAAGATATGTGCACCACTACCTGTTGCTACCTACCTTATCCAGACGACTAACGGAATATCTTTCGTAATTCTAGAAATTGTCACTTTTGGAAAGGAGCGCTGGGATCGATATGAATGCTTGTTCGCCGACGTCCATCACTGACGTGAATCCAAATATATATTGCCTCCGCTTTCTTTATATATCATTTTCATTGTATATACCAAGGTATTTTTTTGGTTATACATTTAACGCTAATGTATATAATTATTGGCGATTTTTATTTGCAGGACTATGAGCCTTTTAACGAAGATCATACGGAGCTCCGTTAATAAAAATTTATTAACAAATTTAAAACAAGTACGACACAGTCATGGACAGTGAGTGGATGTGTTTATTATATAATTTTGTTTGAGATCGATGGGTCATGTTGGAGTGAGAGGTAGGAGGAGCACAATTTTCAAAATTAATATATTAATATATTTTTAGGTGGACATATCGCTGTGTACAAGAGCCACAAAGATGGTCAAAAGTAGGTGCAACAGTAGTCGTAACATTTACATACTGGTGGTTTTATTGGAACTTGTATCATGAGTTTGGTTCAGTCATAGTAAGTAATTATATTTAGAAAAGACTATATTTACGTAATGCTGATTTTTGCCGGTTTTACAATACTCTTATTATCATATTTTAATGCATTCAATATTAAAGCGATTGGCATGTTATCCAAAATCTATAGTATATATCAATGATAAGAATGTGAAATACAAATGTTATACGGTTATAACTTAATTAAAGACAGAACATTCTACTTTTGTATGATCGTATGTTTTTCATTGCCCACGAATGTAATAAACAATTAGTAAACTTGTGATTTGGTATTTTAATTAAATTTGGTTATCACTACGCATAATGTAATTATAGTTATAGATTTTGAAAAACTAGTTAAATTGTAATCTGGTTACCATTGCCAATGTATTGTACTATTTATAAATTTTCAAACGTAATCTATTAATAACTAATTTAGTTACACTATTTATTCACACGTTAATGCACTTTATTCTTATAGAATACGTAATTCAATGGTGCATTATTTTATTTCACATATTTGTGCTTATATTTAATATAATTCATGTTCATTATTATTATTACAGGGATATTATGGTGCTACAACATTACCAAATCCTAAAAAATGGACAGACGAAGAACTTGGCATCCCTTCGACCTATGCATAAATTACAAATACATAGGTAAATTAAAAGTTTGTACAGTCAAACATTAATAATAAAGATTCAGAACTTTTAAATTTATAGTATGTGACACCTTCTGGAAATCCATAAATATATAAATAATTTCTCATTTAATGGTATAATTCTTTAATAGGGTCCAATTAAAATATGTATAAATATATTCCCTAATAAATAAATTTTATTAGGGAAAATAATTATATAATATAATTGGTATATTCATAAGTATCAAAAATATTTAGACTAAATTTGAGATATTCATTATTTCATATGTTAAATTCATCTATTAATATCATTACATAACTTTATTTTAATTGAAATAATTTGTATCGATTTCTGTGGCTTAAATAGTTACTGGATTTTTCTTGTAAAATTATATTTAATCTAACTTTATTGATGTAATAATAATAAGCAATAATTACTTGTAGCTTACTAACGTAAATTAATATACTTTACGTATATTTACTTGTAATGTTACAAGACTTTCATAATAAAAATACAATTTTCATAAAAATATTCTATTTGCATATTAAAAAGTTACCTAATATGTAATTGTATATTTAATAATATTTAATTGTACATTTTATGATTACAGAATATTTAATGTACTATATCAGTTATTATAGATTCGTCAAATGTGATTAAAAATATAATTATTTGGATTTCTTATTATATTGGTACATAATTTGTCAAAGTAGGACAATGACACAAACAACTCTTATATAAAATGGACCAAGCGAAGAACTCTAATAGTCAAAGGAATTCAGTAATAATAAATTAATTATATAATATTAAGTTTCATTTTGTAAATGAATAGTAAGAAAAATATAAATACTACATGGCATATGTTTAGTCTTATTATGTAAATCATTCGAATTACTTAACAATTTTATAATCTAATGAATAATGAATAATAATTAAGATTTATAAATTTACATTAAAACAATATTCATCAAAATCATTATTTAGAAACATAGTAAGATTTGCAGTAATTAAATCAATATTTAACTTGTTGGTATTAATAATATAATTATTATTATATATATATAAATATAAATATAATTAATAATATAAATAAATATATATATATATTTATTTAAAGAATAGTGACATTTAATAGGTTTCATCAAAATAAAATAAAGAATCAAAAAATAGCATTAATAACTATTGAATTGGCAAAAAAGAGTTTTTAACATTTGCTTCTTTTATGGAAAAACAAATATGATTTAATTTGTGAACTCGAATTATATTATTAATTTAGCCAAAAAAATAGTTGTCTATAATACTAAGTAAAATTTATAACAAATAATTTTAATTTACTAAAAGCTTACATTTAAAAAAATATCTAATTTTGCTAATTCAGTTAATATTATTGTTTATTTCACTTAATTTTTAGAAAGCCATAACGCTTATATTCTTTGTTGAAATGAAAAATTTAGTTAACAAAAATTAATTTAGATACATAACTTTTCTTTAAATTACGGTTTTATACATTTTAGTGTAAACATATTATTTTATTTATAAGGCAACAATAATTAATATGAATACGATGAATTTAACTGTAATATAACATTTTTAATAAATTTTCTAATACATCCAAACATTTAGTTTCAGATAAGAGTAGTTTAAAATAAAAAATGTATATAAATAATTAGTTCTGATGGTATTTAAGGTATAGGCGTAATTGAAACAAAATTAATCAATATATTTCATTACGAGGATTAAAGTTTGTCTTTATTTTAAATTTACAATTTCATTTTATTTTAAATATTAAATTACACATTAAAATAGTTATATTTATTTAAAAGTGAAGCAAAAAATAAATTAAAGTCATTAAAATATATTTGTACATTCTAACAAATTGTGTATTTACGTTCCAAACTATTGATTGTTTAATTTTTGGATGTTTATTCTGTTTGTTGTCAATTTCAAATTTTTGTGTATATGTGAAAACGATCTTGTCTTCACTGTAAAAAGAGTATATCAATTGTTGCCTAAATTGTATTCGTATATAATGTTTTATTAAAATAAAATATAATTATTTATTTTGACTTTTTAGATTAATTAAATCGTACTTTAGTGTTGTTTATAAACATTGGATTAAAAGTGATTAATATACATAATTTACGATACAAAAGCAATTAAAACGGATTCAATTTGAATATATCAGAATCTGATTTAATTGCTTTTAAACTGTATAAATCAATCGTATTTTATAAGTTTTAATTAGGTTCTTTTTAGCTGGTCCGTTGATAGGAATATCTTTGTAAATAATAAAGTGTAATACAAAAATATTAATTTAGAATAAATAATATTGCACAAATTGAGAGTTAAAAGAATGGACCGCGTTTGCACATTTTATAAGTTATACTTTGTTTACTCTAATTATGTCAAATTATATATTATAATTATAGTATTAATCTTCATATAATATTTTTTATTTACAAAAACTGTTATTATGATTAAATCGGAAAAATGTTTAAAAATCACTTACATGGCTGTTAAAATACTTTTGTAATTTTAGAATCAATAGTGCACATAAACGTTAAAATATATTTTTAAATTTTATTCATATTTGTAATAAAAGTGTTTTATTGGAATTTTATATTTTATACAAGAAATAGTAATAGGCATAAACAAATTTGATGCAATTTATACAATATAAACTTAGAAATCATCTATGATTTTTACTTACGATATATTTTTATTATCGATCATCGGGATGTATGAAATTTTTTATCATCAATATGTTTACGCGTTTTTCTTTGTTTTTGTTTTCATTAAAATTTCAATATAAACCGATTAATGTATTCAAAATATCTTCCTCATCAATTATACCATTAGTTTTAAGAGTAATTAATATCTCCTCATCGTCCTACATTCACTAAATCTTTCCTTTTTATTCCTTTTTATTCGTTACCTTGGTATTATTTAAAGTTACACACACACACACACACACACACACACACACACACACACACACACAAAAGCATTATACAGTAATATTTGATTGTTCAGAATTGTTGTTGTGAATTGCTGCTGTTTTTACTGAAATTTATACTCCATACTTATTAAGCTTATTATTGGGGAAGTTCCATTATTTTACAATTAGTCAAAAGTTCACGTATTATCTCGTTCACGTATTTCTTCGATTTTTATCTTTATTTCGATACGTATTTGCATATATTTTCATCCTAAATATCAACTCCGTATAAACAAGAGCTCGTTGTCATATCACTCATTTTCTTTCCAAGAAATATATTTTACTTACTTAGTTGATTATCTTTTTCAATATAGTTCTTTCTACTATTTTACTTTTTAACTTAGCCTTATTCTAGTTATTATTCCATATTAACTTACTTACATTTTGTTATATTAAAATTTCGTTTAATAAAAATTATGATTAACTTTATTTATTAATTATTATTATTATTAAGATTAACACTAAAAACAGTCAAATTCCCGCACTCAAAATATTGCTTTTAAAATTTATTACATTATCTTCAATATCTTCGGAAGAGGCATTACATAAGACATAAAAATTTTTATTAAAATCTACGGTGAAAATCAAGGCCATAAAAAACACAAACGTCCTTTTACGTGATCCATAAATACGCCGTTATAATATGAATGCGTAGTTTGATGCTTTGTGTTTTGAAAAAGTAGTCAACATTGAAACTGGTGTACTCAACTAGGCACGATTTGAAATTTATTTCGTCAATTTTCAAAATTTATATATTTACTTTTAAAGTTTAATATAAACTGCGCGCTCTCGCACTCATACGCACAACGATTTAACTAACGTATTTTGTTTTATGTAAATTCAAATTCTGATATTGTAACTTGTCGATGAATTGTTTGGAACGATTGGATTATTTGATCAATTTCCATTATAAATTAATATCATTAGTAATTCATTATTTAAATATGTTAAAAATTTTAATATTTCATAGTAATGAAAAGACATCATTATTAACATTAAAATTCATTGGTTACGATAATCATTGGTATTAAATTTACAATCGATTCAAAGTGAAATTTATATTGATTAAAAAAAAAAAATACTAACTACTATATATATATATATATATATATATATATGTATAAATTCATTATATACAATAACAATATCCAATTGGCTAGAAAAAAATTAAGTTATTTATTTATGGTAAGTAAGACATTAAATATTTCAGATAATTTGTTCGTTTACAAGCTATAAGACTAATTTAAGAATCTTTCAAAATATTTTTTAAATTCATTTTTTCTTTTATATCCACGTAATATTTATATATAATAAATACGATCAAAAAAAAAAAAAAAAAAAGAAAAAGAAAAGAAAAAGATAAATATTGCTTATGGATGATAGACTAAAATTTTTCTTACACTTTCTGCCCAAACTAACACGAGCCTTAATTGAATAATTCTTAGCATAATTTTTATTATATTGTGCAAAAAATTACATAAGACGAAATTATAATTATGAAAATAGTTTTATATTAAAACGAAATGAAATTGGCTTTCCGTCGCCTTATCATCGAATTATTTTTATGCAAGTATTGCTTCTGCAATAACGTTTGAAAAAAATCTTCTGTACATGTGCTTGAAACACAGTGTGTATGGGCACATTTACGATGCAAATACAAAGAGCGTTAAACGAACTAAATAATAATTGACTTTTAAGTATGCAACTGTCGATGCGCAAATACTCGAGAAATGTATAAAAGCCATTAACCTCGTACAATTTCCTCAACTGGCATTATAAAAATGGCTCGGCTCGTTACGAAAGTACGAAAGGCATCATTCGGAAAAGCGGTCGGGAAAGGAAGACGACGTCGATGGGGAGAAAATAAAACTAGGAGGAGGAAAAAAAAGAAAGAAGCGAGCGCGTGTATTCGCCATTACTGTGCGACCGTATAAAGTCAAAAGGCGCAACCATATAAGCCGGGCGATAAAAGCCCAGCGGCAGCATTGGCCTCGTCCCATTGGTTCTGGTATCTCGACTCAAGGACTACTGGCGATGGGGGAGCCGATCCCAATCCCCTTGGATCGCCAAGTTTTCCCAGGAGATTGGTCGAGGCGTCGTTATATCTCGCGGCTCCAGCACGCCTTTACTACCCCGAGCCTTTTTACGAGGAAGACGCGAGGGGTTGCCCTTGCGTTATGGTCGCGCCATATACTCGCGCGAAAAAGGCTGTTTCGCGGAAAAAAGGTCGCTCGAGATAAATTGAGAGCGTATAGGCAACCGTAGCACCTCCCCCCTTTTACGAGGCCACGTTTACGATGAGACTTCTATCGAAAAGCGTGCGCTCCAGAGGTAGAGGTAGAGGTAGAGGTAGAGGTAGAGAGAGAGAGAGAGGGAGAGAGAGAGAGAGAGAGAGAGAGAGAGATAGAGAGAGAGAGAGAGAGACGGTAACAGGATCGAGGTCGAGTCCACGCACCCTTCCGCATTAAAAGGGAAAGGCTCCTTTTCGCTGCGGCATCTGCGGAACGTGCGAGGAATCTTCCTCGTCCTTTACTTCCTTTCGGATTCATTGAGTCGGCGAGTTTTCTCATTCCCGACGCATTTACGACTCATTCAATCCCGTCGAGGCTGATGGTTTATTGTATGCGAGAGCCGCGTGTGCCCGCCGATACCGGTGTATCCGTCGAGCCGATTTTCCTCCGACCTAATGCTGGTCCCGCTTGCTTCTTTTCCTTTTCTCTCACTCCTTATTTTTCTCTTTTTGTTGTTTTTTTGCTTTGTTTTGTTTTTATAACGTTACACGCGCGCTTCTCAGAGCAATATCCTCAATAGCTGTGGACGTAACGACGACTGCTGCTGCATAGTTT